CTCTCACCACCCTCACACCAAAGAATTTCTTCCTAATCTCTAATCTCAATCTCCCCTCTTTCAGTTTAAAACCATCCCCCCTCGTCCTATGGCTCCCCTCCCTGATCCAGAGTCCCTCCCCAGCTTTCCTGGAGCCCCTTTAGGTACTTGGGGTTGCCCCGACCCACAAGCAAGACCCTGCACTCGGCCTTGTTGAACCTCATGAGGTTCTCACAGTTCCACCTCTCCAGCCTGTCCATGCCCCTCTGGATGGCAAATAATAGACTTGCTTTAAATGGTCTTACAAAAGACTCTAATTACAAAATTTGGAATATCCTTGATAACCAAGCGTGAGAGTAAGCGAACCAAGTTGCCTTTAAAGGGTTGCCAACCCATCTTCAACCTCAGAGCTGTTCAAAGTCTAAAAAGCAGATTATTCTGGGCTGGTTCTGACGCCACAGATGATAAAAAGCAGTTGCTTTGAGGTTTCAAAGTCCATGGGAATAAATATAGTGTCTTTCGGAAGTCAGGCTCATTCAAAGCATTTTTAAAAGGGATTGCAGAAAAGAAAAAAAAAAAAAAAAAAAAAAGGACATTCCAGTGACATTTGGGGATGACTGAGCTAAAGCTCAAGATAAACTCATGGACAGGCCCAAGGCAGAGCCATCCCCTTTCTTTCTCAGAAGGGGAAGAGAGGAGATTCCCAGGGAGCTGCAGCCCCCCCCTTTTTCTTTATATAAAGGGGCAGAAAAGAGCACTCATGGGCCACTCCTGCAATAAAGAAGGGGTTTTGACACCAATTTTGAGGATTAGGCAGGGGGTGATGGGTGGTTTTATCCAACCGTCTAAAAAACAAAGGCTGTTGGGACCCAGGGTAAAGCCTTTCAGCCCAATCAATCGTGCAGTTTTAAAAGTACACTCCTCTTAAGTCTTCAAATGCATCATCCAGAAGGCAGTTTATATATTTAATAAAAATCGGGAAGAACCCCAACCCCTCCCAAAAAACCCCAGTGGTGTTTGGGGGAAATCTGATGAGGAAGGCGCATACAGAAGTCAGGACGACCAAATAGCAAAGGTTTAGTTTGATTTACAGAACTCTGTGCAATGACACAGACACCTGCAAAAAGGACAGTGTTATCAGAGGTCCCTGCCTGCACGTTTTCATGGGGGATACTCACCCCTGATTGCGCTGCTCCTCTTCATCCCCAGGGCCAGGGGGGGTCACCAAAACCAAACTGACACCGATTTGAAGCTACTGGAATGAAAACACACATTTACTTCTAGTTGACCACAACCAAAGAAACCTCAACAGCTTCACAGGGGTTTGATGGAGGAGCCAACAGGACAACCACCGGTCCCGTCTCCTGTACTGTAACCTGTAAGATCTTCCATTTTTAAACACAAAAACATCAGCTGGAAGGACTCAGCTCTCCCCAAAGCGGTGCTGGCCCAGCTCCAGCTTTTCCTAGCCCAGTCCTGAAAAATCCCCAGGCCAGATACTCCGCAGCCTGGCTGGTGAACCCATTCCAGCACTACAGTGCCCTCCTATTCTAAAAACTACTATGGCCAACCAGGTTTTATACATTTCCCAAATTAAGACTAATTATAGAATATTTAGGTATTATTAGCGATTAATGTTTTATACACCAGCAGCAATCAGTTAATCTTCATCCAAAAGCAGTTCTATTCATCACAGAGTAATTAAGAGATCAGGAGCTGTAGTTCAACCCATCTCAAAGCTTTTAAGCCACAGCACAGGTTTTAAAAGGCTAAAACACGCAGCACCGCTTAATTCAAAACCAAAAAGTGCTGTTTCAGCCTTTTTTATTTTTGTGGATGTGCCAGAGAACTCCAGTCCCTTGCTCAAGAGAGCAGCTCGCCTTTATTCTCATCCAGAAGCAGCACAGCCAAACAAGTTACAGCACCGAAATAACTTCTAAAAAAAACCACAGGAGGCTGACTCAGGGACTCTGCGGGGCTTTCTTAGCGTATGCACAGGGACTGCAAGATTTCTACACTCCAGGGTGATTTTTTACTTAACGTTTTGCCTGTTTCCAACCTCCTCCTGGAACTCACAGAGAACGATACTCCACGGAGCGATGGCTGTAGCACACAGAAGGCACTCTACACATTCCACGGGACTTCAAGACCCATGCACATGACTAAAAAGCCATTTCTCTTGGGTAAAACTTTGCTTTAACCTACACTAAACCCCCTAAAACATGGCTTGAGTTTCCCCGAGCGCTCAGCACACACAATGCAATTAGTTAAAGAGTGAGTGATGAACAGCGCGTGAAGGAGGTGACGAGAGCGGAGCCACACCTTCAATTAACTGAATTTGGAGCAGCATTTCATTTGAAATTCAAAATTGTGATTTGATGACATTCACCTCTTCTTACAGACCATTTTTCCAGAATGAACAAGTGCATTTAGCCTTCAGCCCCTCCTGTTCCTCAGGGCACAGCACAGAAGGAGCTGCATCCAGAGTTACCAAGGAAATGAATATGAAGGGGTAAAAGGGGGAAAAAACGTGGTTATTGAACTATGAAAAAAAGCCCCAAATAAACTTAGTACCTGGGTTAGAGTTGTGGGTTTGTAGGAAAGGAGGAAATCCTTTGCCTTAAACATTCAGGCTGAACTTCTGAATTGCCAAAGACTTTGTCCCAGGCTCTTAATGAACAATTACTTTCTGAAAATGAAATGGAGAAGAGCATGAAGAGGAAAACACCTGACAATCTATACACTTTACATCCATCCCATTTTTGTTTAAAAAGTGACGTTATTGAACATTTTCCTGCGAAGAAGTGTGATTTTGTCTTTTCTTTTGGACTTAATAATCCTTTAGTTCAGGACCACAAAGGGTGTTCACTTCAGTCTGATCCACAAATTCAGACAAACGGCCAAATGACAGGACACCAGTAAGTGTCACTTAAGTAAAATGCAATATGGAAAGCTCAAAACTCTCCCCAATCTGTCCCACAACAAGAGTCCACTGACTCTATCCAAATTCTGAGAAATAGAACAAAAAAGAGGAAGTTCTTCGAGAAGTTTGTAGTTTGTAGAAAAGTGCTGAGTTTCCTTGACAGCTGCCTTCCAACAAGGCAAACCTTGATGTCAGCCTGGGTTTAACTATCCCGCTTTTAAAAATACTGAACTACCACAATATGGGATTTCCAGGGATTTCACATTTCATGGAATTCACCGGTCTGTGTAGTGAAGGAGGAAACATCAACACTGGTCTTTGAAATGAGTGCAAACCCTAATTATGCTCACTTCTCCACAAGCAGCTTTTGCTTAGGTGAACTTTAATCCATCAGTGATAATTTAAAAACTGATTATTTATCAGTTAAATAAATCAAACAGGAGTTTTTTCTACTTGAAATTTCCTTCTCCTCTTGAGTCTTCCAAACATGTTTTTTTGCTATTTAACACTGCTGGTGGCCAGTCTCCAGAGTTAATGTTTTTCTGTTTGCAGTGTGATAATCTCAACGAATTCTTCAAACGGGCAGTCATAGAGCAATTATGGGGGAAGTGCAAGAAGTGGAGTGACTTTTCACATTTTTCCATTGATTTTACTAATAACTGCTTGTGTTTGCTTACAGAAACTGAACAAATGAAGCGACTGCTCCCCCCCAGAGCAGGAGATGAGTCACGGCAATTAAAGTACCAGGGAAAACCGAAAATAGGGCAAAGTCATTACCCTTGAAGGAATGGTGTCAATTATGGCACAAAGTTCTAGCTGCAAAAACATTTACAGAGAATGGCAAGCGAAAGGAAATGAAAGTGAAGTTCTCTCTACAGCAAAGGGTGTGTTTTTTTTTTTTAATAGTGATCAAAGTAAAAGTTCCCAAGATGCTAAAAAAAGACACTTCAGATGCACTTATTTTTAGCAAGTACTTCTTCCTATAGGAGATCAAACTGCAGGAGACTGAGCGCTCCCCAGAAACCATTTAGAATCCAACCTACAGGAGACCAAAAATCTGAATTTTGCTCAAGGGAAAAAATAAAAAGCAACCACCCAAGCCTTTTATGAAAGGGATGAAGTAACGCCTGGGGAAATGCAGCACCTTCATGGCAACTCAAGAGAATGAAGCTGCCCTCCAGAAGAAAAGCAAGGAAACCCCCAAAAAGCGTGTCCAGGACCAGGCCTCCAGGGAAGCTGGGACATACGTAAAATTTCTGTACTTTTCTTAAGAATGAAGCTGCCCTCCAGAAGAAAAGCAAGAAAGCCCCCAAAAAGCGTGTCCAGGACCAGACCTCCAGGTAAGCTGGGACATCTGTAAAATATCTGTAGTTTTCTTAAAAGCAATCAGTTTAAAAAAAATAAATAAACAAAAATCTTCTATGGTGTTGCAAAATTTACATTGTGCCCAAGGAATTTAACGTGTCTCAAACAATATAAATGTTAAAAGTCTTCTCTATTAAAACAACAGCCAGGTACATCTTTTTAAGATAAGCCAAGGAAGTTTCAAGCACAAGCCTTAAGAAGGCATAAAATTTGAATTTCTGAAACAAATTAGTAGAAAGGAAATATTGTAAGGGAAGTTAACATAAACCCCATACCACTAGTTTTTCAGAATGGAAGCTTGGGCAATACACATAGTACTAAATTTCAAGTTATTTCCTTTAATATTTAGAAAACTGGTTTTATTCTTAGTTTTCCAGAAAATGATTTGAAGTATTAGCACCTACATTTTCCGTAACTCAGATTTAGATTTACACTTGGAAAAAAGCCACGCTCAATCCATTGAGTTATCCTATATTCTTCCATTTCTGACTATTTCAGTAGAGCACCGAGAGGGAAAGAGCACAACACGTCAGTAACAAGGGAGATCTGTTCTCAGCTGGTGACATCAAGGACCAGGCACCTCCCTGGGACACAATTCAAAAGGTCAGAGTTTTCCAGCACACTCCAAATCACCTCCGTTTTAGTTATTTAAGGTGGAAATTTCTAGGTGAGTTTCTAAACCCCATCCAGCTACGCGTCAAGTTTATTAAGCCACAGTTGACCTGAGATGCAATTAGGATTTGACGTTTTTCCATACTTAGTTCACAAGTTTATTATGAAAAACACTGCAGCTCTGTCCTGCAGTAACATTGTTTTACAGAAAAAAACAGTTCTGTTCAAAGTAATTCACTATCCTTGGACAATTACAAGGGACAATATGGTAGGGCAAAGAGTGGAAGAGGGAACTGAGTGCAGACAAAAAAAAAAAAAATCAATACAATTAAATTAAACAGTATTCCCTGAAAATAAAACAAACAAACAGTTTCAGAACAAATGAGGCCTTGGTACTTATTTTAAAAATGTTCTTTAAGCTTCAATGATTGTTTGCTGCTACCCTTATCTACAGTCATGCTGAATAAAGCTATAGCTAAATGGAAAGTTAAATGTATTCACGAGGTGTTAATGTCTACATCTTATTATTTGCAGTCTCTCAGAGAAAGCAAAAGTAACTACAAATAGCGCTATGCCAGAAACTGGTTTCTTGACCAACAATGTTGCTTCAGCATGCAATGAACTGGTTCATTCTAAAGTGGTCACAGTTGTTGACGACAAGAGGCTTTGTATTTGAATATGGCACGTCTTTTGGTCCATGTGAAAACAAGTTTGAATGTTAAATATTTTCTGACACTTTGGAGTTACTGTTGCTCTTCCCATTTTCTTTAGGTCAACATACGGTTCATGGCAATACTGTACAGGTCTAAAATCTCTTTACAGGAAGTAGTCTGGGGTGCGACGAGTAACATGCGGTTCACCTCTACGCGGCGCCGGATCGAACTGCAAACTGAAAGGCAAAGGGATTAATGAAACCGCAAGAGTTCGCTTTACTTTCAGGTGTGCTTTGTACCTGAGTCAACAGTAGCAACGGTCTTAACCAAGATAAAGTCTTTTTTACCATTTAAAGTCTTCTAGAAATAGTGTTCAACTTCTTCTACTCCGTCTATTAATATATATTTACAATCCCCAAAATTTAAACTCCCCTTATGTTTACTACTATGGACTGGAGAGAAATGAATCTCAGCTTTAAGACTCATAAATTGGTCAAACATTAGTATACAGTTAGAAAGTTCAAGTCATATACATTTAGAAAGTTCAAGTCATCTGTAAGTGTCAAAGGGGGCACTTTACCCCATGCTTTTGCCTCGTTTACTGGCAATAAAGCTGCTGTTGAGGTAGTTAACAAGAAACCTCATTAAAACAAGGCAACACCCTCACACGTGAGGAATCCCAGGATTCTCCAAGTCTTGCCCTAGATAAGAGGGCATTACCTCAGAGCACTCCCACTCTCCAATCACACACCTCTAGAGTATTTCATTAAACTCGTTCTATAACAGAACTGAGGAGCCTGACTTTTATCTGACAGAGAAGAGATGTCAGCAACAACCGTTCCAGATACATGACTCTAAGACTGGAGATGGGGCTCACCCAACAATTCCACACACACCCCACCTCCCAAAAGCAGATAGGAAAAAACCCCACACCTTAACACAATAACTAATCGGTGTCTTGCTACAGAAACTACCTTAAAAAAATCACATGCAACGTAAATCTGATTTTTAAGCATACTTACAAGGAGTATTTTAGAGTATCATCAAGTTCCATAATTGCAGCCTGGTTGCCACAACGGTAGCAATAGTTTGGAGCACTGAAAATTGTTACTACATTCCGATCATGGCACCAGTTGTACCCCTGGAGAGAAAAAAAAAAGTAGTTCTAGGAGTCAGGTTCATTTCTTGTACCCCATATAACCATCTCACCACTACACTGAAGTTTTAACCCACAAAACCCTAGGTGACAATTGTAGTTATTTAATATTGAGGCTGTATCTTTATTTGTCTTCTTGAGGAAAAAAAAGGGCAATAGGCCCATATAACCATCTCACCACTACACTGAAGCTTTAATGCACAAAACTCTAGGTGACAATTGTAGCTATAAGGCTGTATCTTTGTCTTCTTGAGGAAAAAAAGGGCGATAGAGAATCTTGGCCTTTATATGTTGCTTTTTACTAGTAAGCATGAGCTAAACATATTTTTTAAAAAAATCAACATGAATTGTCCATTGCATTGATGTTAAAAATTTAAACAGCAATTCCAAAACACACATATATGTTGCTTTTTACTAGTAAGCATGAGCCAAGCATATTTTTTAAAAAAGAAATCAAGGAAGAATTGTCCTTTGCATTGATGTTAAAAATTTCAACAGCAATTCCAAAACACACGCTGTATTCTGAATCTTCAGCTGTGATCACCAAAACCAGAATCCAGACATACATTTTAAAAAATCTTTACTGCCAGGGATAACTAGAGACTAAGAACAAAACCACACTTTCAAGGTAAAATGGAAAAATACATCTTTTCTTCAAGGCACACATATTTGTGTGCATTTTCTTACCAAGGGACTCAGCATTTACGTTTAAGAGCCTTTTTACCTACACAGAAATGCAGTAACACATCTAGTATTAAATCTGTTTTATGACATTACTGCAACTTTTCAGAAAAAAAGGCCAAAAATAAAGGTTACTCCACTGTCAAACTGAGAGACTCCTTCAGTAGCACATGAATAGCGTCAAAATAGAGTTTCTGGAAGACTCTCAGCTGGGTTATCAGCTGTTTGATACACAGAGTAAGGTATTAAAGCACCAACACCACAATCAGGTGGTTGAACACCAAGGCTGTCCGATCCTGCTCACCTCCATTACCAACTGATGAGCTCTCGAAACCAACGTAAGGCCATTAGCATGGTTAAAGGTTTCTGAAATATCCTGTCCAAACGTATAACCAGCACCTCGAGGAGAAATTCCCCAGCCACCGCGATCATCTGGATCTGACCATAGCAAGTCACACATCGGACCCTGTAGAAGAAGTTTCAGAAATTGAGTAGGAAAAATAA